ACTTTCGACATACTCATAGGCAAGCTCAGGAAACATGGGCTGGTTAGGTGGATGGTGAGGTGGATTGAGAACTGGCTGAATGGAGGAGCTCAGAGGGTTTTCAGTGCACAGAGTGTAGTTGGAGACCTATAACTATTAGTGTTCCCCAGGGGTCAGTACAGAGTCCAGCATTGTTAAACTTACGCATCAGTGATTTGGATGGAGGGATAGAGTGCCTCTTCAGCAAGTTTGCTGATGATACAACACTAGGAGGAGTGGCTGATATACCAGGAAGCTGTGCTGTCATTCAGTGAGACCTGGACAGGCTGGAGAGATGGGCAGAGATGAACGTCGTGAAATTCAACAAGGGCAAGTGCAGGGTCCTGCACCTGGGGAGGGATAACCCCGTGCACTGGTACAGGCTGGGGGCTGACCTGCTGGAAAGAAGCTCTGTGGAGAGGGACCTGGGGGTCCTGGTGGACAAGTTAACCATGAGCCAGCCAGGAAGGCCAGGGGTGTCCTTGGGTGCATTAGTAAGAGCATTGCCAGCAGGATGAGGGAGGTAATCCTCCCCTTCCACTTGGCCCTCGTGAGACCTCACTGTGTCCAGTTCTGGGCTCCCCAGTACAAAAAAACCAAGGAACTATTGGAAAGGGTCCAGTAGAGGGCTGGTAGAATGATTAATGGTCTGGAGCATCTCTCCTATGAGGAAAGGCTGAGGGAGCTAGGCCTGTTTAGCCTAGAGAAGAAGAGGCTTTGTTATATACTGTCCAGCATATAAGTATATGAAGGGAGGGTGTCAAGAGGAGGGAGCCAGATTTTTCTCAGTGGTGCCAGGTGATAGGTGAGAGGCAGTGGGTATTGACTAAAACATGATGTTCTACCTGAACACAAGGAAGAACCCTTTTACAGTGAGGGTGACTGATCATTGGAATAAGTTGCCCTGAGAGGTTGTGGAGTCTCCTTTCCCTGGAGATATTTAGGAGTCATCTGGAAGCAATCCTGAGCAATGTGCTCTAGGTGACTCTGCTTGTGCTTGAGCAAGGAGGTTGGACTAGGTGACCTCCAGTGGTGCCTTCCAACCTCAGGCATTCTGTGATTCTTTGAGTATATAGCCTTATTCCTTTAATTGTAGTCACCATTCCTCAGTTGTATTAGAATCTTTCCATTCAACTGCAATTCAGTACAGCCTGGCGAAGTATTTCCAATAAATAGGCTGTACTGCAAGGTCTTAAAACACATTACTACCCCAGCCCCAATTAAATATACTCTGCTTCCCTTACAAAACTGAAACCTTCTTTGTTTTTCCTTTCTTTTGTTCTGAAGGATTGGTTACAAGGTAGACCTTCAAATAGCGGTCAAATGTAAGTAAGCTTTCTAATTTTATTACTCTGTATTTCCATTTGGGGTTTTTTTGGGTTGTCTTTGACTGTAGTGGTGTTCAGTTGCATTTAATGAAAAAGTAAGGTTTAAGGGCTTTTTTTTCTAATAAATAACTGAATGTGTTCACTGGAATGCTTTGACAGGTTCTATTTAGATTAATGGGGTCACATGTCAGAGGGCAAAACATGCCCTTAAATGAAAATGACTGTGTTGACACTTATTAAGGAGCTAGCTTCCTGGTAGAGGTCTTTACCCAACCTTTCAAACAGTAAACCTTCTCTGGAATTGTGCAGACGTTGTTCTTGTTACCAATTATCCCCTGAGTTAACTGTTAAAGCCATTACCTGATTAACCTGATAACAGAAGGGTAAGCTCTTGTGAACAAGTTAATTAAAAGCACCTCTGTGGGAAAGAGCACTTGTGATGCAAACTTTACCTGATGTTGTGCGTGACTTGGTGGTTTTTAAAGTGTAGCTCTGAAAACATGAGATTACTTAACAGCCATCCATTACTGCTTTGTAATTAAGAAACCTGTACTGCCCTTGAAAAATAGGATAAAAGCAGTGCTGTGAGGTTAACAAGGTGACCTAGGATGATGTGTCAGAATTGGTGAATACAGCAGTTAAGTTTTTAAGTAGTAATGACTGTTGGTTTTGTGGCATTTCACAGGCCTTCTGAAGAAGATGCATTGAATGGTAAGTTTGTTCCTGCTGTAATCCAGCTGGGAGGTTTTCATACAAGCAACTGTTTGGGTCTCCCTGAGAATGCGTTTAACCACTGATCATTTGGCACTGGTGTAATAGCATGGGGGTTCTATTATTATTTTTAAAAATCTCTTTCAGGCATTGCTTCTCCTTTCAAACCTATCATGGATATCAATTACTATTACTCAGGTCAGTCCCTCTTACGAAGTAATGTTCATGGTTTTATTGATGCTTCTTAGATCTGTAAACTTTAACAAATACCATAATTTTCCTCTAGCTGTAGAAAGAAATAACTTGATGAGATTATCACAGAGCATTCCATTTACTCCTGTGCCTCCGAGAGGTAAGAATTGTACTTCTTGTCACTGGTTCACTGTGGTCTTTCGGGTGAAGAAACCAAAAGTAAACTCTTTATAAAGATACATTCTAATGCAGAATGATCAAGCCAGATTTCACACTTGCATACAGCAAGTGTGAAACTAAAGTCTTAGTGAACTAAAGGAAGTCTAGTGTTGGCCTTGCAACACTCAAAAATGTAAATGAGTATCACACCTTTTCTAGGGCAGCTCCCTCATTAGGAAATCTATTTAATTGTAGTTGTCCTCAGACACGGTGATACAGTGAGGATGATACTATACTAACAGTTTTTGTAATACACTATTCTGGAAGGAGTCCTTTAAGTTGTCTTGATTTGTATAGACTGAAAGCAAACATTCATTCAGTGTTCTTAATGCTGTAACAGTGTCATTAATAGTTCTACTTTGGAGGACAACACTGCTGTACTGCTTTGCTGCTGTATGACAGAAGTTGGGGAGCAGTCTTCCCGCTGTCCAGTTTAAATTTTTTGTTGATTCAGGATGTTAGTAACAACATAATATTGCAGCATGTTCAAGTCTAAGAAGCTGTAGGTTTTCAGTTTCATTAAACTTGGAAAATAAAGTGCAGTACTTGCTGTTTGTGTTGTAACTCAGGTGAACCAGTCACTGTGTATCGCCTTGAAGAAAGCTCTCCCAGCATCTTGAACAACAGCATGTCTTCCTGGTCACAACTAGGGCTCTGTGCTAAAATTGAATTCTTAAGTAAGGAGGAGATGGGAGGAGGTTTACGTCGAGCTCTTAAAGTAGTATGCACATGGTCGGAGTATGATATCCTGAAATCTGGACATCTTTATATCATCAAGTCTTTTCTTCCTGAAGTTGTGAATACTTGGTCAAGCATTTATAAGGAGGACACTGTGTTACACTTATGCTTGAGAGTAAGTTTTATCCTTGTCAGTTATTAAACATAGGCACTATATATTGAACAGGAATCCCACCTCTCTTGCCCCCTTCCTTCAAACTAGTATATACTTACTTAAAAAAAAAAGGGGTGGGGGAAGGTTACTGTGGGGTTCAGCGCGAGCTGAAGGGTTAAAAACTTAAAATGTAGACATAATTCAAAAAAGAATTAAAAACACGTATAATTTGTGACACTGTCTTGGGAGAACAGACGCTGACTGTTCTGCTGCCTCTTGCCTCCCTCACGTTCCCTGTCGTACAACGCCGCTGACATACGGGCTTTGCATTGCAGGAAATCCAACAGCAGAGGGCAGCACAGAAGCTCACCTTTGCTTTCAATCAGATGAAGCCCAAATCCATTCCGTACTCTCCAAGGTGAGTGCGTTTAAACTTCTGTCGTGTGGCATGCTTTTGACACAGAAGCTGCCTGCAGGGCTGTTGACAGACAGATCAAATGTATTAAGGTATTGATATGTCTCAGAACATTAGTATGAATGTGTCAAGCAGAGTTATCCTTGGCAGTATTTTGTATTGTTACTTTTTTGCACCAATTCTAGCCTAATACAAGAACATAAATGACTTCGAATAATTTGAAACTATTACACAATTATTAGTAAATCAAATAAAAATCTAGTAGCAATGATATGGTTGCCATTTATTTTGGAAATCTATTCATTAAGTATGCTTTTTACTAGGTTCCTGGAAGTTTTCCTGTTATATTGCCACTCTGCTGGGCAGTGGTTTGCAGTTGAAGAGTGCATGACTGGAGAGTTCAGAAAATATAACAACAATAATGGTGATGAAATCATTCCAACTAACATGCTGGAGGAGGTTATGCTAGCTTTCAGCCACTGGACGTATGAGTATACAAGAGGAGAATTGTTGGTACTAGATCTGCAAGGTAATGTCCTTATTTTGAAATTGGGATTGGGGCCAAGGTATGTGGTATGTGGGAATTTGTTTTGTGATAGTGTTTTCTTAAGAATTTGTATGTCTTTAATAAATAACAGACATCATTTAGTGCATTTTAGTCTAGTTAATCTGAATCTGTGGTTGTTGATATTGGAAAAGACATCTAAGAGCATTAAGTTCAGTTGTTAACCGAGCACTGCCAAGTCCATCCCTAAACAATGAATGTCCCTAAGCACCACATCTACGCATCATATCCAGTCTAAATCTCCTGCGGCCGTTTCCTCTTTTCCTATCACTTGTTACTTGGGAGACTGACCCCACCTTGCTACAGCCTCTTTTCAGGTAGTTGTAGAGAGCTACAAGGTCTCCCCTGACGCTCCCCTCCTGCTGGGGTTTGGCACATTAGTGTAGTGCCAATATGGTAACTGTGTTTATCCCAAGTGGTGTGTCAGATATTCTGGCTCTGAGAACTAGGTAGGAAACTTCCTTCTTGCAGGTGAAAACTGAAGTTAGGAATTGCAGGCAGATGTAACAATAGGTGGAAGAAATCTGAAAAGTACAAAGTGCTTCTTTAGGAGCAATTTTTGCAAGGGTAGAGTATCACATTTAGGTTGGGTTTGGTTTTCTTCTGCTCTTGGGGAAGCTGAGAAGTCGTAGCTAAGGCTGAGGCTTTTCAATATCAATGCATTTATGTAATGTGTCAGATTTAACTTTTTCTTCATGTGCTGTCTGAAGGTGTTGGTGAAAACTTGACAGATCCCTCTGTGATAAAAGCTGGAGAAAAAAGGTAAGGTTAAAGAAGGATGTAAAGGGAAGTAGTATAAAGCTCTCACCAGAGAACACATGCAACCCATGTTGATGTGCACTTCATTTCCAAGGTCATACGATATGGTGTTTGGTCCAGCCAATTTGGGAGAGGATGCAATAAAAAACTTCAGAGCGAATCTGCAGGAAGCTTAAACTTCCTGGTAAGAGTTGCTGTATTTCTTCTTTTGAGACACTCATCGTATGTCATATGATGTAAATGTAATGAAATAGTTACTTGGTGCTGTGCAAGTGGAGTAGGTCATAAACGACAGGTTTGTAATTTTACTCCTAAAGCAATGTGCCATTTGAAGGTGAAATCCCAGATGAAGTAATTGAGATGAGCTGTGGTGTTTGGGGTTTGTTGCTTGTGTTTTGGTTGGGTTTTAAAATCATGTCTAGGGCTGCAGAAGTTCGTTCTGTTAAAGTCTTCTCATTTCAGATAATTTTGCTGCAGGAATGACACTACACTCATCTCAAACCTTGAAACTGTTTCTCTGATTCAGGCTTTTAGATCCAGCAGAACAGCATAAGGAACTTGCACGATTCCTGCCTCTTTCACACTTCCAGGTTCTTTCTCACATGAAGACATGTCATTTGTTGTAAATCCTGGTAACATCAAAACAGATCATGGAAGGATCTGATATCCATGGGAAGTTGACTCAATACTTGCTGTAATATCTGTAAATACAGTAATTCTGAGGTTTCCATCACTTCTTAAAGCAGAGCTTTAGGCTTCTGATGACATGTATAATAAAAACATCCTGTTTTGAGACAGTGGAATTATTCTTTACAAGTACATGTGCATACCCAGCTTTTACCCAGAAAGTCACTTATGCCCCACTGATTCTCCTAGCTCAAGAAATGGTAATTCAGTATGACTTTGTTTTGTTTGTGCAGATCTGAAGAGGAATGATTACACACCTGACAAGATCATATTTCCTCAGGATGAATCCCCTGAATTGACAATTCAGCCTGGAAGCTGCACCAAAGAATCTGATTCAGCTAATTCTATTCGTTTGATGCTCTAATGATGTGACCAAATCAGCGGCTTCATCCAAACTTCCTGGAATGTCACAAAGTTGTCACTTATCTTTCCTTCACTGTAATTAAAAGAAAGATGTGTCAAAACGATGATTGCTGACTTATAAGTGGAATTTTGGCTGGTCCATAATCTAAGGACCTAACAACTTGTGATAATCGTCTGCAGAGAACAGCGTGGCGCTGATCGTTTGAAAGGTGGAATAAAGACAAGTATCTCGGAATTGTTTTTAAAGGGGCTTTTTAGCAGAAGGTTTATTTTCTATTTTGTTCTGGTTTCATGGAGGATTTTCTCTCTGTACTCCTGTGGTGCACAGTCTGCCTTCCACCAAAAGGATTTTGGTAGTTGGTGTTTTAAGGTAAAGCTTTTGTCTGTTTGGCAGCTGTCTGACTGTCAATCAGCAAAAGACAGGAGAAAGCACCTACCTCTGTAATGCCAGGGTATTCCTTGAGTAGGTTTGGAAGTATCGCGCTGATGTTTTCTCACCAGATGTCTTTTCATCTGGCCTTTTGAAGAGGACAGAGCCAGATGAGGTGTATATGTGATGCCAGTAGGCTGAGGTTGAAGGTAGGAACTTGATCTGTTCCAGTAGTGAGAGAGAGAGTCTCCCAGATCTCCTCAGTCAGGATTCAGCTTCGTGGCTGTAACGCTGTTTGGTTTGGGTTTTGTTTTTGGGTTTTTTGTTTTATGTGTGTGTGTGGAATAGAGCCCTAATTGTGCATAATGAAATTTCTTGTTTTACACATTTCAATTTTACCAGGTCACTGTCAAATAGTAACAAAGCCATGATAGACTGGTATAATCATACTGAATAGAAGAAATAGTATGTGTTGGTCCAAGTAAGTTGCCTTGTGAGAACACAAGTTGGAAGTGCTTTTCCTCGTATGTAGTGACTGCTTCCGAAGTTGCGCCTTCCAAAGAGCTCGTAAAACCAGTGTATCAAACCCGAATGTACACAGAACTTGTAAATGTATTTAAAATTGTGTAGAATACATCTTTAATGTTATGTTATTTGTGGTACTTATTTAAGAGAGGCTAGGGTTGGATTAGCATCGTGTAAAGTACGGGAGATTGCAATGCACCTTCATGCCAATAAAATGTAATTTAACTGTCCCAAATATTGTTGAGCATTCAGCAAGGAAGAACTGTTGTCCAACTGAAGTTTCATGCTGCGATTTTATTTTTCTTTTGTTACATAGGTACTAATTTGTAATTTTTAATTGAAAGGGCCGTATATAGCTCTATAAATTTTTTATTCAGTAGTGTATCTTATAGATACAGACCTAAGGCACGAACACAATAGCTGTTTAAATGGTGTTTTATGTTTGAAGGGGAAAGGTAAAATGTTATAAGGATATAATACTGTATACATTTTGTATATCATTAAATCTTTAAAGAATCTAAAATAAATTTATTCTTGTTTACAGACTTCTGCTGTCCATACGAGTCTGAAAGGTGGTTTGGGTGAATTTATGTAACTGTGTGTGGAAAAGTAGGATTTGCCATGCTGGGTCAGAGCAGTTGTGCACGTCTGAGGTACCTCAACTTTGACTAACACCAGAACTGGGAGGAAGGGGAGGAGTGAAGACAAACGTGATGGGGTTAATGAGTAAATGAGATAAAATCTCTTAAAGATCTTGACAATGTTTATTTTTAGTTAGGAGCTGCTGCTTTGGGTGCCTGACTGCATCCCCTTGTGTTGCTGTGAGGTAATAGGCACGTATTCAAGAAGTACTTACACTCTTGTGATGCTATGTTCTTTTGGCTAAGTAACAGCAACAGTTAATCTGTATGTGAGGCTGCCTTTCCAAACAGAATGGTTTGGGTGTTGTGAGAATGTGACCAAATTCAGTGTATGAAATAGGAAGAACATTTTGGCTAAGTCATAATTAGAAGTTAAGAAACCTTTTGTTTCCTGACAGCGCACAGTTAATCTTTAGAGCCGTGATACCCATCTGCAAGAGTTTGGCCTGTAACGTATTTCTTAGCAAATACAGGTGTGACTTGTGTGATGGGGGGTGTGTGACCATGGGGGTGCTGCAGTGACTGTGGCCTGAAGCCCTCCAAGACCAAGAGGGGCAAGTAGGGCTGGGGACTGTACTTACGACTTGGAGCCGTTAACGCTGCACGTAGCTCTGCCCATCTGCCTGGCATGAGTGCTGGCTTCCTCTGGGAGAGTTGCAACAAGGCTTACATGGGAAGCCCAGGTCTGAATTGGAGTGGGAAGGAATTAAGACTTCACAAAATATCTTCATACTAGCAGAAAAAACCCCATCGATGCCGGTATCCTTTGGGAAGGCACTGGAGAAGGGTGGTGGCAGAGAAAATAAACAATTGATTTGCAGTAGTGTGTGTTAGGATAATGCCACGTCCCATTGATGTCAGGAAGATTATGCCATGTAATTTAGTAAGAAAGTGTCACTCCTCTGCCGAAACCCCATCACTTTTGAAGTGCTCTATGAATAGAGAAGAGTTATGAGCCTTGGAGTTTAAATTTTCTTTAGATTCTCCTCTTTAGAGGAGGAAAGTAGAAGCAGCTCTGGAGCTTCTGTCCAAACCCAAAGTATCAGCATCTTGTTAGAACCTAGTTCTTAGTAACAGGAATATAATTCAAACCTTCTCTAATTGTGAAAATGGGAAATGCTTCGGTGACTGTCCTGCTGAGAGGGTATTTAAAGAACCCTTTTCCTACAGGGAAACAGGTAAGATGCATAATTTTCCCTGACAGGTATTTCTGATTCCCTACATCATCCTCACTATATCTTCATTAGAAGAAAAACCATTGAGTAACTTACGTACTTGTAGATCACTGGTGGTTGCTTATGTAACTTCTGTTTCAAAAAGCACTTTAATTTCCTCCAGGATCAGTATTTATGCAAAAATCTAAAAAATATGAATGTGCTAATTTAATCTCTTCATGACTGCAGCAAATCCTGCACTGTTCCAGCTTTCTTCCAGTATTTAGGTGCGGAAACATTTCAGAGAAAACCAAGTAATCCATTTTGTGGTGAGAGTGATGGTAAGGTAATTCTCAGCTCTGAGCTTGCAGTAGGTAGCACTAGATGGGGATTTACCTATTGTGTTGTGTTAAAACAGTAAATCAAGGTCTCAATTTGGATTCCGCAGGAAGTAGGAGTAAGCACATACCTTTGCTTTCTTGAATGACTAGTATGGCTGATCTAAGTGCCGAGTAAAATTCAGCTATACTGATTTATAGTCTCTTGAGGATGTGCCCAAGATGAAACTATAATAGTATCTAAACTAATCAGTTCTACACAAACCTGTATTTTTTCATCTGAAGAACCTTTAAACTGTGTGAATACAACTCAGACTGCCATGCTGTAGCATCCTGACCACTGCACAACTAGTTGAGAATGAAAACACCAAACCCAAACATACATTGAACAGGATATATTTTTTAAATCAGTTCTTCATTAAGGTTTTAATGCATGTGTACATGAAAATTTATATTAAAAAATTAAGAAGGAAAATCTTGGTTTAGAATAGCTCTGAAGTGCACAAATATTGACAAAAGCTAACAGAAACAAAAATACAGCTCTGCCTTTTTATTTAGTGTTGCAGTTACTTAGAGCTGGCAAATAAACGCAATCCTCTGAGATTCTCACAAAAAGGACAACATTTTATTATATACATAGTTCTGATGTGCAAGTATGCATTCAATATGTACACTTACATTCCTAACTGTTTACATCATTCTAGAGTATTCACAGTAGAATCAAGCTTAAGGTTAGAAATGTGAAAAGGCCATAACAGTGAGAGAAAAAAAAATATCAAGATATGCCTTGGGATTTTAAGACATTTTAAACTACTTGTTAATAGATTTCAGATGACTAAGCTAGAATTTAATTTTGGAGCAGACTAAAAATAGAGTTGTTTTTTAAATTAACAGTAATGCAATATGCTTTTTAAATGGTTTCACAGATGGCAGTATTACCACAAGCATTATTAATCAGTCTTCTGACTTGTAAGCACTAGTACTGACCAGAAAGAGCCTGCCTGCAGAAAAGCTGCTGCACCCATCCCTGTATCGGTAAGTGACTATGTCTGTCGCAGTCCTACATACGTTTATAGGCATTCCCATACCTACTCTGCTCTTTAAAAGGACAACCAGTTTTCTTAACCCACGCTACTTTACGTGGCCATATCCACTGCTCGCTGTTCGTAAGAGGTGTAAAAGAGAATGTATGCAGCTGAGGATTTCACAGATGATGAGGAGATCTCGGATACTTCATGGTCATCAAACTTAAACCAGCGTTGCTTCGCAGCATTTTTGCAGTAGGCTGTGTAGTGCCCTCCATCCAACCCGCCATAATGATTCTGTAAAGAGAACAAAAGAATTAATGGCTTCAAAAGCTGCCGTTTCATCTCTTTTTAGGGAAATTACCTAGAATATCAGATTTTTACTAAATACTGATCATTCTTCTTTAGAATACAACTTCACATGCGGCAGGTAGGCAGCCTGGCCGCCTCAGACAGGCTAACCCGAGTCTCGGCATAAAAATGAGCTGAACTTTGAAGTGTGACATGGTTACTTACTGAGACTGAAAACAGATTGTATCGCTTCAAGTTATTCTTTGGACCAATAACATACTGTGAAAGGTCAAGAGTTTCCAATGGGAAATCTACAGATGTTTGAAGCTTTTGCTTCCATCTTCCATCATAGGAAAATCTAGAGAATTAAAAAGCATCATTAAAGGTTACAGGTTGTTCACAAGCTATTGTAGAATATTAAACATGTCTGTTTTCCCCATTTTTCCCACAACATGATCTCAGCTGAAGTATTTTGCCCCCAGTTTTGTTACTGCTTGCACATGTGTTTCTTAGCACAAATGAAGAGATTACTTGTACAGGTGCTTTGTGAATTACAGCCTCATGAAAGCAGCAGCAGATGAAAACAAAGTTCTTGCACTGTCACAACTGGAAATACATTGGAACTTTCTCTAATTAAAAATGGTTTGCTACTGCCCT